AAATTGAAGACATTTTTTGGCTTTGTGTGTGTGTGTGTGTGTGTGTGTGTGTGTGTGTTTTGTGTAGCTGCTTTCAGTTGTCCTCCATGTGACTGCTTTAACAAGCCAAGGCCTCATCACATGGCAAAATGTTTTGAGTTGCTTGTGTCATGCACTAAATAAAACACAAACACACACATTCGTGGAAGAATATCAAACTTCAAATAATTGTATGACAGAGACTCACACTGTTACTTCAGTGGTCTGAGTGAAGGTTTTGTAAATCTTGTGGTGTCATCCCACAGATTTTTACATCAATCACACACATATCAATGGTTTTGATAGTGCTGTTCTGGCCTCATGATTCATGAATAGATTATTATAATTATTCTTTATCTATTTATTGGAAAGGGGAAGGAGTGTAATACATACAGAACATAGTCTTCATGGTGTCAGCCTGAATCATGTACTATATATTTTCCTCTGGGTAGCAATAAACTGGGTACAAAAAAGTCCGTGAGGCTAGAACTCTTCCTGTCTCTTCTGTCTCTTACCTCAACTCATCTGCAGTGTGTGTGTGTGTGTTTCTTGTTTCCTTGATGAATCAAATTTGACTCATGTCTTTATCTAGTCCTTTTCTATTATCATGTTGTACATTTCTCTTTCACTCTCTGCCTATACGATTACAGTAATACAGGTTAACTCCTACAAGCACATTTTGGTAACATTTTCTGTATCTGCTTATTTTGAACACTTTGTTTTCTCTTCAGATGTATTGACTTTGCCGACACTCACTTTATAGTTACGTTGAGCTACTCTACATGTGTATTCTACGTTGCCTCTGCACATATTGAGTTGGTCAGCAGTATATCTGTGTGTAACAGCATGTGTCTGCTCTGTCCTGTGGTGTGAGGTACAACAGGCAGCTCAGTTGGTTTCTATCCTGTTTGAGCTAGCCTAATCTCACTAAGGTAATCTGTTCGACAGTTGGCTTCAGCGTCAGTGTGCAGTCCAGGTGTCTTTTTGTGTAAACAAGGGGAGTAGTGAGGTTATAGGAAAGATTCACTGAACATGAATTGAACATGAGATTCAGCTCACAGAATCAGCACAATAAATTCATTCTCGCCTGGATCTTGTTGTGGAAATGACCAACTGTTTGGCTTTAATCGTTTTCCTCTTATTTTGTCTCATAAATCAAATGTGTGATTCACGAGTCAGACAAAGTGATTAATTGGTTTGTTAGATGGAACAGTATTTGAACATCTTCACATGTGTATCAGATATTATCACTCAGTTAAGTCAGCACTGGAGAAAATTAAGGCCGAAACTGAAATACAATCACTCCAAATATGAGCTGATCACTTAGGAATTTCTTAAGTTTGAATAAAATTGAACATCAGAAAAGCAGCTGCAGGCTCAGACACAGCAGATGTTTGTATCACCATAACTAATATTGAAAAAGGATCTGCCAATGCCAATAGAAAGAAGCAAACAATACTAGGACATGGTGTCACATTGCTTCTTGTATTTTATTGACGTGCCTTATCTGAAGGGCCTTCTAACAGACATTTGAAGACTGCTGCAGATTTGCTAATCAGTAAGTGTCCATGCATACCTCTACATACGTTTTAAAATTCTGTGACAGTGATACATGAATTCCTCAATATATTTTTATCCGAGGCTCACATCATGTGTTTTTCACCATGCACAAGTCTGCAGTGTTTGTTGCAGTGTTTGTGCTGGAAGCAATTTATCCTCAAAACAGCTCATAGGCATATCTGAGCACCGTGAAAAATCAATACTTTCACCTCCAGTCCTTCATTGTTCTAGTGTTTTTCTTCTCTCTGTGTGTGTGTAGCTGTGCATGAATGTGAGGCTGTCAGTGTGTCGTGTGCAATGTCATGTAGTGTGACATTGACATTACTGCTAAAATTCCTCAAGTTGATATTGTCGTACATACATAGCGACATTGAGGTACTATCATAAATACATTCTTGACATTGGATGCTCCAGTCACACACAGCCCTCTAATGGTTTGTATAAGAAATAGTTGCTATTGTGCAGAAGAACAGCACAGATGAAGCTAATATTTCCTTCTCTTTGTTAAGAAATCTGGACCAACAACATCTTGTGAAGATGTTTAGTTCTTAACAAGGACTTAAAAACTGTAACCACTGGGTTAATTCTCCATGTATATGTTTTTGTTTGAAGTCCCGCAGCGTGGATAAGCAGCATGCAGTCATCAACTACGAGGCTGGGACTGACGAACACAAGGTCAAGGACCTGGGCAGCCTGAATGGGGTGAGTGCACAGATGGAAATGCAGAACAGAGAGAGGTTAGGACAAAGTTAAAAGGACAAGAGATAATAAAGACAGAACAGAAGAGAAGGGAGGAGAGAGGGGGGGTCACACAATGGATGAGAACTGGGGAGAGATAAGAGAATGAGTTGAACCAGCTGAAGGAGAAGTAAAGGTGTTAAGGGGGAAATGGATCGAGACTGCAAAGATAGAGAGAATTCAAGAGATACAGAGGAAAATAATCAAAGACATTCAAGGTAAAGACCTCAGAGCGGAGGTTCTGAAGGGTTAGAGGGTAACTTGTGTTTTGGCAGTCAATAGGACTCTGTATTTTGCTGCTGCTAATCAATCTCTCTTTCAATGAAGATTAGTATCAGGGCTGAGGTCAATTGGAATCTAAACCTAATTATGCAAATCACAACTTAAGGGCACAATCTGTGATTCAAATATAGACAAAGGGCCACTAAACCTCAAAACCCAAACTAGGGACTCCCCTTTTATGTATGTAATGTGATGGTTTAGTAGAGTTGTTGAACAATATATATAACTAATATAACTGTGAGAAACACAAATTAACTCTGTGTTTTTCCCATTTTAGATACTCTCTATTTCTTTCTTTGACATTGTAGTTCAGTAAAACCCAGTTACAGTGTCCACATGCTGTTAGTCATGTGTAGTGATTAGCACTCAGCCACAGCCCACCAGATTGGACACATATGCAGAATGTCCCAAACATCCTCTCCAGCTCTCAGACAGGAAGCCAGAGTCAGAGCCACTTCCTGCTGTGTCATTAACCATCCAGCTTCTTCGGCTGGATTCAGAGGAAGTTTTCAACTGCTGAGTCAGTGGATATATTGACATTTGCCACGGTGGTGAGTAAAAAGCTGTGTTTGGACAGTGTCACCATTTACTGTCTTACTGGAGGTGTTTCGTCACTGTTTTGTTAAGCTGTCGTGAATTCACCCCACTAGAGAGGAGACAGGAATGTTTTATTACAACAGCAGTGCAAGTGTGATAGAATTTAATTTACAGTTCAGTGAAACCCGCTCCGTCTCAGAGCTGCATAGTAGAAGGAGGGGTGTAAGGGGGGAATGGGAGTGAGAGAAAGAAAGAGATGGGAGAGAAAACAGTCAAAAAGAAAGACGTGCATAGCCATGCTTAGGTCTTGTGCAAGAGACACTAGGATCAACTGATTCAACTGTTCACCATGGCTTCACAAAGACCTCACTGATGATATGCAAGTTTAACATTGCTGTCTGGCAACTGTTACAGCTTCCAAAATCAACCTTCCCCTTAACTGAAACCTAATGCTTGTTATTGACTAGTTGATCACTAGAAAATGTATCTATTTTACTCAACAACAACTAATTGCTTTAATCATTGTCTTGTTCTATCATCATATATATATATATATATATATATATAATGTAATATGTATATATATATATAATATTTATATATGATGTATATTATATAATGTATATTATATATATATATATATATTGTATATATGTTATAGTAATATATATATGTATACTATATATAGTATATTATATAAGTATATATAATATATATAAAACCCTGTGGGAGTGTCGGTACGGATCATGGATCATGCACCACTATCGATAATGAATATAATCATTAGTTTCAACCCTAATTTCCACTTGGGAGCATAGACACTGCTATGTGTTGCAAAAATGTGGACCGGCTTAATTAGAAGCCTTTTTGTGGCGTTATCTTTCTTTACTTTCCAATTTCTTTTACACAGAAACTTCTTAGAAATAAAGATCATATTAACACATAAACTAGAGTTATTTATTGTCACATTTGATTTAAATTGCCATCTTGCCTTTTCTTTCCCCCTGCAGACCTTTGTAAATGATGTCCGCATCCAGGAGCAGATGTACATCACTCTGAAGTTGGAGGACAAGCTGAGATTTGGATATGATATCCTCTCACTTTTCTGATCTGTTCATCTGTTCAGCCATCACACATCCACCAGTAATTTCATCTTTCCAAAAACATGCTGAGCAGCCGAGCATTGCTCAAGCCCAGACAATATTATTCTTGTAATTCTTCCCAACATGCCTTTTTTTTTTTTACTGTGTACTACATGAAGATAATACAATAGAGATGGAGTACTGTAGTAAATATCTGTGTGTATAAAGTATGTGTGTGTACATGTATCATAATTGTGGCCGTCATTTCCTTAACCTGTCTGTCTCACATACCAACCTGTTCACGGTGGTGAGAGGAGAGCTCACTGTGCCTGAAGAGGCTCTAAAGGTAAGAACACACACAACCTGTACTGTAACACATACTGTCAAGTATCAATGTTCACCATGACACACATGTTGTAGTATACTACTTAAATCCCTACCCTTTCTTCTGATTCATTTCCTCATCTCCCTTTAGCATGAAAAGTTCACTAGCGGCCTCCAGCTCAGCAAGAAGCCGTCCAACGGTGAAACCACTACCACCACAACCACAAGCAAGTCTCCCGCTAAGACCCCAACAAAGACACTGAAATGCCCAAGTGGCAGCACACTTAGGCCAGCGGAGAGTAGAGCAACAGACGGGGTCCCTTCCTCCAAAGAGCACCAAGCTAAACCTGTGGACACTCAAAAAGCAGATGAGAGGATAGGAGGTGAGAGACAAATCATAGAGGAAATTATGATGGTATAAGAAATGTGAAGCTGTACTTAATATTTATTGTGAATTCAATTTTCTGTGTTGATTCGGTCTGCTGTTTACATTATTTCCTTAAAATTTGATTTATTCACTGCTATCACAAGGCCACTCGTTTAAATAATACACTAATACTAATACCAAAATGCCACTGTTTCAACACCAGTTCACAGAATTTGGATGTATTGTGACTTTCTACAATCCCAAGGAGAACAGGCCTCTCTGTACTGCATTCATATGTTGTAGTTGAAGACAGTCACATCACATACATGTTTTTAAACTGAGATTAAAGCATGTTCGGATGGATTTCTCCCCCAAAAAACACATTTTCAGACAGAATATGGTGAAATTACTTTAAGCGTGGTTGGCTTTTATCCCAGGCCAGTAGGGGGTGGACATGGTCACCAGGGGAAGGGTTTTAATCACCACACCAACATTCAGTCACTTTGTTTTACCATGAAGGCGGTTTAGGTCTGAGGGTGTTCCTAATAATTGCTATCACTGACCAGGCTGGGGTGCTAGCAGGGGTCCAGTTTAAGCTCCAGATGTTGAAACAAGGCCACATGGGGCTTGTGTTATTGCACAGATTAAGCAGTAACAGGGTCAGAGTGTGTGCATAATTCAAACCCATATGCCTGCACTACTGTTCTTAAAATGCAGCAACATTCACAACCATGCATTTACCTTTGCACATTTGGCCAAAAACAAGCACATATGCAAGTACTTTGTTACATGTCTCTCCATCTGCGGCTCATGTGTTTAATGACACCCTTTCTGTGGTTCTGTGGGTGTAATCCTGCAGTGTCACTACTGTAATACCAGGCCTCACCAGATATTATACCTCATAGTGAGCATACATTCAGTAGCTTTTATATAGAAGGCCACTTCTTACTGCACGCAATTTTGTGAGAGTGTCTGTAATTATCTGGATATGCTGTGATCAATACATAGCTCAGGATAAGGGGTACTTAAAGGAAAAGAAGGTGAAGGAAGAGGGTAAAGCAGGGAGAGGTTAACACAGAAGGAGGCACAGTGATCTAAATCACTGGTTCAAATCTGGCTGTAGACCTTTCTTACATGCCATTCCTGTCTCTCTTAACTACATTTCCTGCCATTTCTCTACTGTGCCGTCCACTTTAAAAAAAGAAGTGTCACAGGATACTCGTCCCATGTCAGTTTTCCTTCTAATGGGGACACAGAGGCAAACGGAAAGTCCCTCTTTTATTTAAACTGCTTGTGTCTGTGAGAGAGTGAGAGAGAGCGAGAAAGAGAGAGAGCAAGTATGATAGAGAGTGTGCACGTCTGTGTCCATCCTGCTAAAGTTCTGAAAATAGGTCAGTGGTGCAAGACCCGACCAGAGGGGAATTAACACACAAACATACAAATACACAAAAAGCAGCAGGGTTCACTTTGTGTCATCATGATACAATGATTATTGTACAGTTTATGTCGACAGTATCAGAGTAAAATACAATGTATAGTACAATAAACATGTTAAACATGGCATGCCGCAGTTAAAGTTATGTTCAAATGTGCACTTTCTGCAAGGCTTTGTTTAAATATAAATGCATTTATGCATTTGTCGCAGGGGATGTTACAGCGCTGCCTCGTGGGACCCCCCTGTATGGCCAGCCGTCTTGGTGGGGGGATGGGGATGCAGATGATGAGAACTCCTTCAAACAGGAAACCAAGTCATCCAACAAAAAACATGACAGCTCCATTTCAGGTAGATAATATTCAGATTTTGAACTTACAACTTCATCCTCACACAAATGCTCTCCTCATCACTATTATTCAAACATGCAGTGCAGAAAATTATGGATACAGTTGTAAAATTGTTAAATGTGTGGACATGTCATGTCACAAAATCATATTGCCAAAACACCCGTGCTATGGATAGAAGAAAGCTGGTAGATTCTTAAATGATGTTGATGTCAAATGAATTGTCACAATTGGGTAGTTTTGGCTTGGAGTAAAGGTTGTAAAAATGTTTTTATGGGAAAACAACATTGCACATGAAGTAGAAATTTGGTTGTTGACCATTACAACAATTAGTAGAAAGTATAGAAAATATAGTTTCTATATGAATAAACAGAACTATTTTGTGTATTTTGGAATACTTTCAGCAAAAAGAAACAAAACTGAATGTTATGGTACAGTAGGTTTATATTACTGTATGCTACAAACTATGCTATTTGATAGCTCATTGATACACTGAATCATGCAGTTCAGGTTATTTTATCTTAGTAGTGAAATAGTAGCTTGATCTTAATGCCCTTTAACTCTGTTTATTTGGTCTGTGTTGGAGGGCTAATGGTGAATGTGTGTTTGTATGTGTAACAATGTATCCAAGTGCACACAAAGGCTTTTTTCAGAGCCTGTATGTATGTCAGTTTGCCTACAATATGAGTGTGTAGAGTGACTGTTGGACTGGAGGGATCGCGTTGACTGGTGGTGGATAGTCAGAGTAACAGGATTAGAGGCTACCCCAATCGTAAAACAGCTCAGCGAAGCAAAATCAGTCTGTGCCAGGCTGGTTTAGTGTGGACCAGTGTAGTCGGAAGGAGTGGGGGAAGGTTAATCATACACAAACATTGGAGCAGACTGAAGCGTCCTCAAATCTCTCGCCACATCTGGATGGATTGTCTGGCAGCGTCTTATAGCGGAATACTTTATTCATCAGCTCTTTTAACAATGGGTTATTTTAATTATTTCTGTCTTACATCATGCAGATTCTGCAGAGGATTTTAGAAAATAATTCATCTGTTAGAGATTAGAAAAGACTCATTTTGGAGTAAATCTGTGTGGCAGGGTGATTTGAAACCCTTTCCAAAAAAATCAGGCGAATGGGATTGGCTACTTCAGTCATGGAAGTGGGTGAGTGGAAGGCATTTTGCCCAGCATTGACTTTTAGAGTGTTGAATGGATGTTGGATGGATTTGTTTTGTAAAGCAGTATGCTCCAGAGGGTGTTGTGCAGTGTATTTATGTCGGTTACATGGATCGCAGCATGAAAATATCTTATCAGTGTACATGTTTTAAAAATAGAGTGAGCATGCCCTTTATATCTAACTCTAACCAACTGTTAACATCAGATATATCTTATATCTGCGAAGGGGAAGTGAAAGAGAAAACGAGAGGTTCGAGGCAGGAAGCGATTTTGTTGAGAACGTGTTTTTGTATGTCAGTTAAGTTTAGTGTGTGTCCTTTTCTCCTTCCCAGTGAATAGGCTGTGTTGTCAGAAACCCCTACCCCCTTCCTTGTGTATTGTCACTCACGCCGATTGGGTTACGCCATTGCACCAGCTCCCCCATTCTTCCCAACACACACACGCACACACAGACACACACACACATGCACACAGACCACTCTCTCACTCTTTACTGCTGCAATCATTAGCTAACCACTCTCTAATTCTCTGGTAAGTATTGCTCTCAATTCCATATACTTTGGCGAATGGAGCTGGTCAAGAGCTTTCAATTTGAATCAACTTTTTTATTCGTGTGACACCCACTTGCTTTATTACCTGTGGCTCTTTTCAAAACGATTTGATCAGCTAACTCCGATCAAATAGTTTAGAATCTGAAATGAGAAGTCAGACACGTTGTAGGTTATAAAAAGGTTTGTTATTTAAAGTCAGTCACACGTACCTCATAGCAGATGCCTTTTGTAAGTTTGTTGAATGTCCATCCAGGGTGTCATTATGGTGACATCAATGGAAACTGTTACACTTATGAGATACAGGAAATTTAGTCAGTTCATCATAATTTTAAGAACAGAGCAGATAGAGAAAATGTACTTTCTGTAGTTTAGTCTGTTTGTTTTTAGAGTTTGTAGAGATGGAGAGAAATGTGAACACTGTAGTGACTCTAGATAAAATCTTTTGTCATCTTGTTTGCATGATATGACTTTCTCAGTTAAGTCGTTGCATCTTAAGCATCATTCAGCCTATTTGATCTCTCTCTCTCTTGATCCTAATATGTGCAGTCTGTTTAAATCCGTGTTGTAGATCTTCCCAAACTTGTAGTGCAGCTTATGCTGGCAACCGCAGGTCTTGTTTCAGAGAGTCCAAAGAGGTTCTTTAATCCTTCAGTTTAGTTGATAACACTGAAGTGGAAAATAAGCCTTTCAATTCAAAGATTCTGTTTCTGTGAAGATCCTGTTTTGTCTCTTGCATTCTCAAGAAGCATAGTCATATTTAGAGAATATATTATTCATGAGAAATTCATTCAATATTTTTTTACTAGTAATTATAGTCTGCAAAGTAAGTTTCTGTATCTTGTTTTATACTGCCAATCGCCATATGTTCCTTCATTTGCTCTCCAAACTGAAGCAGATGGCCCCTCTAATTTCTGAAAGTGTCATTTATCATATTCAGATCCCACAGAGGCTCTGTTTGTTAATATGAACAGATGAGAAAATAAGTGCTCCATATTGTGATCGCCCCAAAGCAGGTTTTAAAGGTCTGTACCAGCACTTCTTGTCCTGCCTGGAGTCACATGACTCGTGTGGGTTTTTGTGTATATGTATATAACAGAGTGAAACAGTCAGACAGAGACAGAACACATACAGTATGTGCATTTCTTTGTGGTACATGTCATTCATAGGTCTGCGTCCTCCCACAGAAGGAGTCAGTAAATCCAGTAAATGATCAGAGACACTGAAGAGAGGATCATGATTCAATTGGTCCATTTTGGGAGTAGCTTGATCTTTGACCTTTGATAATGAATCCTAGTATTCATCTCTCACTGGAACATTGGAACGTTATTTCTTATTTATTTTATACCATATATACAAGTCATACAGATCTGTTTTATGTACAATGTGTTTTAACTCAGAAAGCTTGAACCAGGATTCTTTGAGCTTCTATTTTTTAAAACAGTGCTCATGAACATCAATATTTAAATCACTGTGGTGTCCTGATAGCTCACCTGGAAGATCTGGTGCCACATGAACCAAAGCTGTCCTTTTTTAAATTTAAATCAAATCTTTAGCAACACCTTTGCTTGTTTTTCAACCTCAGACAGCAAAGAGGTACGTAGAGGGGAGAAAGCTAAAGAGGACGGCCTTCATGCATCTGCTGCCCACGATTCCAGTTACTTTGAAATCCCTACCAAGGAGGGTCACATGGCCAGTAACGGCATCCATGAGATTCCCACCAAGGACACGGAGGACAGTGCTACTCATACTACAGGTGAATTATACATTTGATTTATTCAGATTTCCTGGGAATAAAAGTACCTGTGTGTATATTTTTTTATCTTTCAGAGTTTATAGTGGTGTAATGTACCAATTAATACTATTACATGATAATAGTAAAGATAGTAAATCATGACTACATTAATTTGTCACATTAGTAAAAATTATATATTTACATTAAATTACTGTATACATTTAATTCCCATCAAGCCAGCCTTTCTGGGAAATGTTTATGTGACAAAGAGACTTTAATTTACGACACAAAACAGGAAATAGCTATTGTTTCTCTAGCACAGACCCAGTATCATTCTGGAACTGAAACCATCAGCTGATTTGAGCATATAAGGATAAATATCCATGTACTGTATATTTATAGGAAGTTAATTATAATAAGTCAGTTATACATTACATTTTTAAAAGAGCTTCACTCAGTACAACTACGTTTAGTCACATTCACTGACTGACACAGTAACAAAACTGCAATGTCTGCTCCACAGCTCAAGGTCACGCCTCCTTCACTATAGAGTTTGACAATACCTCTCCTGGGAAAGTCACCATTAAAGACCATGTGTCAAAGTTCACACCCGACCACCACAGACCTCGCTCCAAGAAGAGTGGCGCAGGAAGTGGAGGAGCAGGAGGGAGGGACTTGAGCACACTGCAAGCCGCTATGATGGCATCGGAGAGCAAGGTGGCCGATTGGCTGGCCCAGAACGACCCCACTCTGGTGCGCAGCGAGTCAACGGAGGACGACAGCAAGAGCATCAAGAGCGACGTGCCGGTCCATCTCAAAAGGCTAAAAGGTAGCGGTTGTTTTCTCTTAACATTTCTATATCTGTGGATTGTGTTGAAGCTTTTGCTGTACCCTTTTCTGGTCCTCTACTTCTCCATTGACCATTACTCTTCCTTTTCTTTTCTCTCAAAAAAGATTCTCATCAACACGATAATATTCACTTGTGAGTTATCACTTATTTCACCAACATTACCTAGGGCTGCTAGAGCACGCATTTTAAACATTAATATCATAGACGATCCTGTTCATTTAATTGGGGGATGCTAAAATCGTGATTACAATTAATATTCGATTAAGAGTGCAGCCCTAAAATTACCATGATACTACTGTGTCATACTTGTATGCTACAAGATTGTGCACATGGTCTTTCCATTAGTCTCTTCCTATACTATGTGAAGACTGGGTTTATTCTTTGTTATGAGCCTGGGTTGCTGGCTGTGGTAACCAAGCCAGGGGATTAGCACCTAGCACACAGAAACATTTAAACCCCTATCTACTCCTCTACTGCTCTGACATCCAATGACAAGGCTTAGCATGAGTAGCATCCCACCCACTGAATTTCACTTTTTATCCATTTACAGACATATTATCCAGTGAGGAGCAAACATTATATGCATACTACTTCATGGAAGTTAATATCCGACTACAATGGCTTTAGATGTGGCTGTTTTTTTCTTTTGCATTGTCAGTATGGACATCTAAATCTTCTCTGTTTACCTCTGTTGTCTTGTTGCTATGTATCCTTTGGGTAAGGTTTGGGATTGCTATGACTTTAAATTGCATGCTTCTCCGTTTCTTTGTTCCCTTTACCTGTAAGTAAGTGAGTTTAAGTTTGATGCTAAGCTAGGCTGCATGCTGACCATGACTTAATTAAATGGAAGTCAATTTATAATGTTGTTGACATGTGTGGGGGAGGGACTAGCAGAGCTGATGAAAATGGAAATCTTTGATGCAGGAGTGGAAAGCAGGGAAGCTAATTCATCAGATAGAGTTAGCACTACATGCATGTCAACTGGCTGACAGAGTGGCTCACCTCATGGATGATTATGTTGCTAACTGACTGTCTGACTGACTCAGGGTCTGCTAGACTGCAGACTTTTCCAATTGAAGCTGTTGCTGATTGAAACTTGATGAGCTGGCCCTCTGTATTTCAGGAATGCACTGTGGTTGTAACACGAGTTAAGGGAGGAAAACCAAGAAAAATCGCAAAAAAAGACAGAAAAGAAGGAGTGAAAAGAGTCAGGAGGAGAAGAGGGAGAGAGAAGACAAAGAGGGATGGATAGAGGGCAGGTGGACAGCTGGATGGGAAGCTGTCTATTGATGCCAGCTGTGGCCATGTGAGGCGTGAAAAAGCAGGTACAGTGGAAAGACAGGTGAGAGGGTGAGGAAGGCGGGAGAACCTCACTGTAATACTGAGAGCAGCATTTGCAGCAATAACAGCAAAGATGATTGGACAAAGAAAGGAAGGAAGGGGGGAGAGAGAGAGAGAGGCTTGTTGCCTGGACTGCGGTGAAAGCGGAAAGGGAGGCGGTAAATGAGGATAGAGCAGTTTTTGGTAGATAGTTGTTATAGTAACAGTGATGCAAATGATGTCAGGGAGAAAGGACTTACAGAAATACATTTCCAAATAGCACGTCTTTGTGTCTGTGTGTGTGAAGGCTGCGGAGCATGTGTGAGAAACGCACTTGAGCGCTGATTGAGGGCGTGTGTGCGGCACGGGCTGCTCACATGTGGATCTGTGTAGCTGAAATCTGCGTGTCTGCGTTTGCTGTATGTGTGTGTTTGAGACGTGCTCAGCACTGATCTGCAGACAAGCAGTGCAGCATGTGCGACAAGAGGCGTGTGAGATGTGCTCAGGGTGTGTCATAGAGGTACCAGGCAGAGAGAGAGGCAGAGGTTTAGCGTGGAGGCAACTGAGCCAAAGCTTTTGATTTGTAAACATCAAGGTGAGTCTTTCTCTTCTTGCTGAAAGGAGCAATGTAGAAGATAAATCTTTATACTGTCTGTTATTTCAGTCAATGTTGGAATATGAACTGTGTATTATTGAAAGATCTGAACATCTGTGGACTCTGATCAGTGTAATTCTGTATCTGTGTGATCTGAAATGTTATTGAGATTGTAAGATTATTTTTTGCGACTTTGATTCCTGATTAGTATTTCATGCACAATGGTATTCATTCGCAGCAGGAGTTAATGCTTAACAGTCACAAGGGTTGAACTTCCACATTGTGTGTGCACATTGCACTCTATTGTAAGCCCACATTCAGCACAATTCTGTGTACGTTTGTGGTTGCATGTTTGCTTGTCTGTTTGTGCGGCTGTGCATGCATGTCAGCTAAGTGCATCCCTGTGTCGGGCGCTCAGTTTGCGAGCGCGTGTTCGCGTGCGTGTGCATACGCCCAGCGGTGGACGCAGAGAGCAGCTCCACTGTGAGTCATGGCGGGGCGAGCGGGGCAGAGCTCTGGACTCTCACAGATACCTCTGTTCTCCTCTGGCCCTACCAACAGCTTCTTTGTCTGGGGCACTCAGCATGAAAGACTTGCCCCTCTCTGTCTACCTATCTGCTGATCAAGCTACTGTAACGCTCTGCTGCCTTCTTTTCTCGTTCCATTAATGCAGTTTTTCTTTTTTTATGAAATGTATGCGTTATTGAGTTTCAAACAATGATAAAAGACAGGAAAGATGGAGGAGGTGGATGGTGGAATGTGACAAATGAGCTGCAGACTCAAATATGCACTCAAGAGCTGCTCCAGCAATTGAATATTGTACTTTAATGAAGTTGTGGGATTTTAAAAAAAGATACAACAGAGCCTGAGATATCTTGACATTTAGGCTGCATTTGCACTGCAGGCAAAAGTCAACCAAATCTGATTGTTTTGCTCATATTTGACAGTGTGAACAGCACAAATCTCATCAAATCTGATCGTTTCCATTCTGATTTGGACCACTTTCATGTATGGTCCTAAATCAGTTACAGATCTAAATTTCTGCAGTACGACCTCAGTATGAACAAATCATAATTCATGTGACTTTTACATCACTCTAGATTGGCATTCATCACAATCCTTCATTGGCGGGAGTCACTCTGTAAATACAAACATGGAACACAGCTATTCCAGTATCCACACCTTTGCAATGATTTCTGAAAGTGTGTGAAGTAGAAGTGTTTTCGTCCAGTCATCCGCAACAACAGTCATGTGGTGTTTCCTCCCGTTGTCTCCCTCGGACACCCTTGACTGTTGGCTCGTTAACTGACTGGCTGATTGTGTGTTGTGTGAGTGGCTGTCAACTGTAGTGGCAATACATCCTGAGCCTCCTAGAGTTAAGACTTCACACTCTCTCTCTCTCTCTCTCTCTCTCTCTCTTTTCTCCACTTAATCCAGTGTCTCTCCTTGCCCATCCACCCTCTTTTCCTCTCCCCCTAACCTCCTTCCCAGTCCAGCCTCTCCTTTTCTTTCTCAGCCTCCTTTCACCTCCCCTCCTCCTCCATCCCTGAAGCCCTTTCTCCCCCTCCACACACACACTCACATCCAGCCTTCTACTCTGCTTCCCCCTCCATGTACTACTACTCCCCTCCCCCTTGCCGCTCTCCCTCACTGCCAGTAGGCAGGGCCAGTAACCGTGTGGGTGGCATGTCTGGATTAGCGTGGCACACTGTCTGCCTTCGTACAACATTGAGAGGACATGCTGATTCGACCCAGACTAGTCAAAATGTAGAAATAGCAGTGATGTGGTAGGTAAAAGAGGCATTGTGATAGTTGAATGATTAGATTCAGGCCGCAGACGAAAGGTCATAGTTCATTTAGGTCGTAAAGGTTAGCAAACATTTGTTTCTTGTTGCGGTATCCACAATGGATGTGCCTCCAGGAAGATGTGGTTCTGTGCTGTGGTCTATATGGGACTGTTTGTCTTCTCCTTGTTCTTGTTGCTTGATTTCAGTAGACATGTGAACAGCCACACTCATTGTTGTGTATTGTACTGCCCAGTACTGTTGGATTGTATCTTTATGGATGCACAACAGTCTGTTGCTATGTTACTGCTGTGTACACATGTTATCATATGGATTTAAGAATGCTAGCTAATGTAATATCCTACAGGTTATTAGCACATGTAGGTTTCAGTATAAGAATGTCAGTGATTTGAAATAAATAACGTTAAATTGTTTGACTTAAATCCACCCCAGGGAAGAAAACACATCTATTTGATTGTGAATTGCAAATAATGCTTGGTAGTAACTGTGATCTCTTTTTTGTGTCCTCATAGGCAGCAAGCATGAGGATGGCACCCAGAGTGACTCAGAGAATGGAGTGGGCCTGCGTTTCGCCAACCGCCGTCATGCCCTCGAGGAACGCCTAAAAGCAGCGCACAGCCACGTGGGAGGAGGAGCCGGAGGAGCAGGAGGGGGGAGCATAACAGTGAGCGGGTCCAGAGCCACTGGCTCCCGCACTGCTTTCATGATTGAGTTCTACGATGAGGAAAACCCTCGCAAGCGCCGGTCGTATTCATTTTCCCAGACTGCACCCCTGCAGGGTGTAGGAGCTGGTGGGGAGGGACTGTGTCCCCAGCCGCCATCTCACCCCAAGGTGTTCAGCATTTCCACCTCTGCTACTACAGCCTCAGACTCAGGTAATGAAACAGTGATTTAATTTTTATTCTATGATACTCTCTCTATGAACAGTTTTCCTAAAGAAAATGTTCAAAGTTAAAATCAGTGCATTTGAAAGAGGGAACATCTATCGTGTTTTGTTCAAAAGTATTTTACTTTGCCCAAAAAGTGAAACTGAACAAAACGTTATCATTAACGTAACTAGTTTGCAGAAGTTGCAGTGAATCTGCATGTTTTTGTAATAGCTGTATCTTTACTCTATACTTTATCTCTAGGTAAGGTCCCAGCTCCGATACCGGCTACAGTTACTGCAGGTGCCCCAACAGCTGCTCGCGTTCTACTCAAGCAGAGGTCAGAGGACCCGAGTATCGGCCGCAGTTCAGCCAGTACCGGGCTGGCAACAGGTAGCCCTACCAGCCCCAGCGAGGACGCCTCAGTTATTGGAAGAGGAGCGGGAACTGCTGCAGGAGAGGCAGAGGACGACCACAGTGATAAGGGGACATACACTATCGAACTGGAGAACAGAAACCCTGAAGAAGAGGAGGCCAGGCGCATGATAGACAAGGTAGGAGAGTTCAGAGATTTATAAACTGCCTGCACCATGTACGGTCATTTCTGTCTTTTTGTATTTTGTTTTGAATTACTTTTGTAATAAAAAGAGTAAGATGTTTTTTTTTAATTCATGCCATCACTAGTTTTGTGATAAAAAAAGCACTTTGCTGACTCTGCTAAACATCTACTCTGCATAATACTGCAACATATCCAATTTACTTTGAAGCTCATTCGCAAGAGTTGAACAGACACATTATTGTACTACACAACACTGCAGTATTTTACTGTGTCCTTGTAGATGCACTACAGCTGTTTTCTGTTGCTATGTTACCGTTGTAGTGTGTCATGTTATGTATGTAAAACTATTTATTAATTCAATTGCATATTTTGTCTTTTCTTTTGCATTGCTTTATATAGTTTTGATAATGTAACTTTAAACTGCATGGAGCTTAAAAGCCACTATTGTTGGTCACAAACTGAGGGAGAGTTTCTTTTCCAATTCATGTTTTTCTGCTTTACAATTCATGCCTTAGAGAAGGACTTGAAGATAAAAAAAAATATATTGAGGTTATTTGAAGGACTGTTATTGAGATCTCTAATCACCCCAGAAGACATGTGGAAAAAACCCATTTGTCTCTGTCCCTTTTTTGGTTATTTGTGAAAGTAGCAAGCATAATGACAAGAGCATAATTTAAACTTACTCTGCAGTAACTCTAAAGAGAAGGATTTGACCAAGCACAAACAGACCAGAGCAAGGTTAATGGTCTCTTTATTACCTGCTTCGTTTGCACTTTTATGGTTAGCAAGTCCTTTGAGACTTTTTTTTGTGCTGTTGCCACTAAAACAGCGCCATCATCTCTCAGTTCCCTTGGTTGACCACCACTCCATCCTCCCTGTCCCATTGGTAAACCTAATGCTTCTGTAATAGCCTGCGGAGACTTGCTCCATCAAGCACTGCCCTGTTTAATGAAAACGATGCTCCAGGGAGGCTGAAGAACCACCATCAGTTTCTTACTGCTGCCCCTGTCTTGTGGCACAGCAGTCTTTCATGGTCACAGAAAACATGCCTGAAAGGGGCAAAGCAAAACACAGTGAGATGGTTTTATGTTAGTGTCAGGGTGAGATTTACTGGCTAAAAATAGCGGAAAAGCTAACATGTCCTTTGTCCTTCACTGCAAGTAAAGTACGAATTAAAAAGACTTCCTTTAAATAGTGCTAAACCATTCTGGACAGAAGTTCACCGTCTGTTTTAATAGCCACCTACCAGATTTAGAAGTTGCAACTGAAAGCATATGTACTTATTTTTAGGAAGTTAAGTTGTTGCCAGTTAAAGTTATTACATAGACAGAATTTAAACTTTACTAAATGGCATTTTAAATAGGCACATGTCCCTTTAAGTGTTGTATACAGGTGTTATCTTAGGAGGAGCAGTGATATAATTAGTGGGGTGTATTTCTAGTCAGTGTTAGTCTAAGGGCTTACATTCAAAACTGGAAGTGTTGTTATGCTAATTCCTGTAATTAGCTGACACACTAATTGGCACACTGCTCACAGTACGTCCGCTCTCGCTCTCTCTCCCTTTTGTAAATAGTGTGTGTGTGTTTGCGTGTGTCTTAGTGTGTGTGTGTGTGATTTCTGTTTGTTGCCATGGTACTATCAAGTGCAGATTGGTGCTTTAATTCAACAGCGTCTTCTTCTGTCTGTTCAGTTCACCTTTGTCCATCAAGAGAACTGTAGAATAATATAATTAGGCTCTATAGATCATGAGGGTATTCCGTTTTAATTGCAAAGGGTGATACAGTACTTATAGCTTTAGGATAAAGACTAAATGGAAGAAATGACAATTCAGACGTACATGCATAATGCCATAAGATTTGCATGCATTGAACTTGTCCATCTTTTGCCACATTGTCAGCTTTTGTTCCCTCCTGCTTTTTCAAATTTCTGTAGGTGTTTGGTGTGCAGCAGAACCAGGACTCTTCTTTTCTGTCAGACCTGAAAGAAGGAAAAGGGAAGGAAACAGGAGAGACAGGGAAAGAGGTAGAAAACCATACTTTTACAGCTCATTTGTCTTTCTGTCGTTGAGTTCCTGTTTCTTTACTATTACTTTTCTAAACAGAGTTTACGTTCCCTTGTTGTCTCTCTCCTTCTCTGTCTGCCTTACCTCGGCTTATATGTTTTCCTACACATACATACACAAGTGTCCATTACTTCAATATTGATTGACTAGGTTTTGATTAGGTACCAAGTTACCCTACATATTATTCTTAATGTTAAATTATGCCTCTCAGTCCAGTGTAGTATAGGGATTGTGTAAGGGGTAGATGAGGAATCATGCCTGACTTTAGTAATGTGAATCATACAGTCACTCCCATGGCTTGGCCACTCTACTCCCCTAGCCTGCTCATGGGAGTAGGCTAGTCCTCCCAGAGAGTGACCTAGATCATACTAAGACAAGGAGAGCCACGCTCAGCCCTCCAGGCAATTTTATAAGAGGGTGGGGACAGTGTGCATGAGCATCGACAGCATTTCTATCAAGTCTTTTATGCCATTTAGATAGATTGTTTATGTAAAATGAGAAGCAGTTGTTGCTCATTTTGCTGAAAGATGACGGTGGTGTTGGTGTGTCCAATTTAGGCTTACAAGCAGCCTCAAATCAGACAATTTGATTTCCAAGAAGAATACAAATACAGAAATTCCACCACATGAATGCTAATCTCACTCATGATCCGTATATTGTGTGCTACTTTGTGCCACCGCTAATTGACTGAAGTGCTCTTTTTTCTTTCTGTCCTTCCCCCCACCCTCCTCTTGTGTCCCCTCAGGCTGACTCGAGCTGGGTTTCTCAGTGGGCCAGTCTTGCTGCCAATCACACCAGGACAGACCCAGAGGGCTCAGGAGCAGAAACAGCCACCTTCCTGCACAAAGAGAGAGGTACATAGTCACTTGAGAATGAAAAGGCCAAAATTAAATGTTGAAATGGAGTAAATCTTTTAAAATCTCTTTTAAAAATCGCCAAACTTAAAAGCATCTAAGGTATAAAGCAGCACTTGAATCTCAGTTAAGTGAGTTTGTCTTTTTCTCTTTTTGAAGCTGATGCCTTTGAGTCTGGCTCGTCCCTCAGCAGAGGTGAATCCTCCTCCAGTTTGACCGACCGTAAGCGCAGGACCCTCCCCCAGCTCCCAGTGGATGACCCCCGTGCCAAATCCAGCAGCAAAGCTCTGGGACTGAGGTCAGAAATTGGGGAGAAACAGGACACTGAACCCCAGGAAAAAGAGAACAAGGGAGACGGGGAGTCCCCAACTCCCGCTGGGGACGTTGAGATGACCAGTAAACGGAAACAAAGCTCCACATCTTCTCCATCCAAGGCTCCTCTCCGGACCTCTGGCAGCACTGAGCGGAGGAAGAGGTCAGAGGAGAGGAAAGGAGGTGGTGGGGCAGGAGAGGCAGGGGAGAAGTCTGGGAAGCCTCTAGTGCGCCAGGGCAGCTTCACAATTGAGAAGCCCAGCGCTAATGTCCCCGCAGAGCTCATCCCACGCATCAACAGAGGCAGCAATGGACGTGAACGCAGTGACTCTGTGGGCAGCATGGATACTGCTACGCTCTTGAAGGACACGGAAGCTGTCATGGCGTTCCTGGAGGCCAAACTAAGAGATGAAAACAAACTGGACCAGAAAAGCAGTAAAACTGGCATCACATCTCAGGGTTCAGGCTCAGGCTTCCCCTCTCGGACTGACTCCATCTCTCCTGAGTCAGATGTGGACACGGCCAGTACAGCTAGTCATGTGGCTGGAGAGGTAGAGAGGAAAGCATCAGCTAGTAGCGAGCAGAAACGACGCTCCTTCAGCAGCTTGCACCGGGAGAAGAGTAACATCAGCACAGCTTCCAAGGCCAGCGTCACTAACGCAAGCGCCCGTGAACGCTTGGAGAGGAAATCTAAAACAAGAACTGCAGAGGCGACGAGTCGGACGGATGCACGCCGCTCTGTTCAGCCGTCCTCTGCCTCCTCCAGAGCACGCCAGCCTTCTCTGGATCTCACCGATGATGACCAGACTTCTTCCTTCCCCATCTCCGACATCCTCTCCTCAGACCAGGAGACCTACTCCGGACCTTTGGGGCATTCCAAACTCGATAGCAGGTCTGCTAAAACCTCCACCAGTGGATCCTCCAAAACCAGCCGCACTCTTCAGGCAGCCACAACCTCCTCCCTGAACAAGCAGGCCTCACTGCCTCAGCCGCGACCCACAAGAGCCTCTCTTCTCCGCCGCGCCCGGCTTGGGGATACGTCTGACACGGATCTAGCTGACGCAGACAGGGTGTCTGTCGCTTCTGAGGTGTCCACCACCAGCTCCACCTCTAAGCCGCCATCTGGTCGGAAGGGACTGTCACGACTGGACATGCTTGCTCAGCCGCGTCGGAACCGCCTGGGCTCCATCTCAGCCCGCAGTGACTCAGAGTGTACAATGACACGGAGCTCCACCTCTTCACCCCGCCTGTCCGCTGAAACGGCTCTGCGTCTAGGTTTGCGCTCATCAACACCAACAGAGAACCGGCTGACACCCAGGATGAGGGCCAACAGCGTGTCCAAACTGAATGAGACCAAGACTAAGACCACTACATCTGGATACTGCTCGCCCACAGGTGAGCTCATCAGCTGAATCTCTAATTTCTGTTTTATTCTGTATTATATATATTGTATATATTATAGGAACAAGGAGAAGAGGGAAATTGAAGTCTACACCATTGCATACCGTACATCATGTGTCAGTGTGTAAACATTTGTTCATAAACATTTCCACTGTGTTGTGACAAACTTGTGCGTTGGTTGTCATCGTCCAGAGAGCTCTCAGCCCGAACCTGAGGGCGGAGATGCAGAGGACGAGCTGATGGGTACTGTACCAGAACTGTAGCCGCTTGATTAGACAATGTGTGTGTGTGTGTGTGTGTGTTTGTGTGTGTGTCAGACCTGGGTCACAGCAATAGAAGCTGCCACCAAGCTCAATTCTGTCAATTCATTTAAAGTCCTTTGTTAAGGAACGTGCAAACTCAGGACTTTTACATTTTATGGATTTAAATTTTGCTATGAAATCCTAAATTAGTTTGGAGTACCAGATGTAGATTTAAATGCTTAGTTTGCAGTGTTAGTACATCACACAAAGTATAATGACCCAGCTCTAGCATATGTTGCCATGTTAACTCTGTGTCTCCTCCCTGACATCCATCAAGTAATGCTGTGATGAAGACCCAGATGCTCTACCCACACTCTCTGTCAAATCATTTTGCAACTTTAGACCTCAAACCTCAAAACCCATGAGCGAATGGTTTTGGAACAGTGCTCCACCTTGTGGAGATTTCTATTCACACTTCAACTTTGTCCCATTTTACCCCTGAGAGACTGATAGAGCACGGTGTTGTCTCATCATGGTGCAGCTACATTAATGCAGCTGTTGTGTGACATTTTTGAACCAGCTTAACATATGCCTGGCTCTAACGAAGTTTCATGTACCTTGTTGGATGTTTTTGTTGGCGCTTTTAGATCAACTCAGGTAGAGTTTCTGTTTGCTGCTGTTTTTGTTGTTTTCAGAGTGATTTTATTAACGCCAAAACTTAACTAAGAAAAATCTAATGCTTTGCTTCATCAGTGTTTCTTATTTTACAGCCTCCCATTTTTAACTTTAGCTCAGGCAGGATATACAGTACATTGCATAGAATAACATGTTACTGGAACCGTTAATCTTTATTATCTTTGTTAAATCAAGTATATTTCAAGTCCATAGTCCATCTACAGCCTAAGAATACAGATTTAATCCCTCCTCTTGCACAGTATTTGAAGTTTGGATTGGCTGAGGGCTGCCTCGGTAACAAAGTCTCTAATGTGTACAAGCTCATTTATTAACTTCATTAATAACAAATGTTTTAATGGAATAAAGTACAGTAACATTGGCTAAACGATCACACTGCCCTTCCGTTACCTTCACAGTGTCCAGTAGCAGCAGGTGGAGACGTCTTCCGCCAGAGTATGGCTCCACTTCAGAGGAAGAGTTTGGCTCCAACCGGAATTCTCCAAAGCATGGAGGACGCTCCCACATGCGGCCTCATCACCTCGTCCCACACCGCAGCTCGAGACTCAGCACCACCGCGAGCCCAGGCTCTGGCGTGGTGACGGGTCCGGGGGGAGTGGGGGTCAAACACCGCATGAAAGAGCAAGAGGAGTATATCAGGGACTGGACAGCACACAGCGAGGAAATAGCCAGGTATTGATCTGCACTGATCTGTTTGAGACTGGTCTATTAGTTGTTAATGTTTAATGTTTTTTAATAAGATGTTATAATGTAATGCTAGAGCAATAAGAGCTGTCCTTTATAGCTTAACGTTTTTGTTGATGTATATGTGATTACAGGTTATTGTGCATTGTATGCAGGTTGCATGTGTTCATGTCTACTCTGAGTCCTAAAGAACCCCTCCATCTGTCTGATGGTTAACAGGTTATTCCCATGTGTGCGCAGGATCAGCCAGGACCTGGCTAAGGACTTGGCCATCTTGGCTCGTGAGATCCACGATGTGGCTGGTGAGATTGACTCAGTCAGCTCATCCGGCACGGCACCCAGCACCACCGTCAGCACCGCCGCCACCACCCCGGGATCGGCCATCGACACCCGGGAAGAGGTAGGCCCTGCACGTCCCACGCAGCCGGATATACAGGAGAGCATGAGAAAGGTGCCCGTTTTTCTTCCTCTATCATTGCCTTACTGCGTGTGCTTCCATTGCGCCTTTGCCATCCCTCATGAGTTGCTTCAATAAAAATGGCCGCTTTTTAGCTTTCTTCTGCTGTGAGAGGTATTCATTTATTACACCCATCTGCTACCACTTTTATTCCTTCATTTTTCTAATCCTAAATTTGAATTAAGTTGACTTATTTTAGTACTATAGCATTCAAATCTAACTTTTGTTGGCTGGACAATTAAAGCTTTAAAGCTGCTTATCGCTCTCTGAAAGAGTTCCTAATTCCTTCATTTCTCAACAATCTTTAACTAACTCTATTAACACTGGAGAAAAATGTCTTTATTTACCTCTTCTCTCCCTCCTACATCTCTCCCTGTCTTTGCCCAGTTGGTGGACAGGGTGTTTGATGAGAGCCTCAACTTCAGGAAGATCCCTCCTGTGATTTCAACCAATAAGGCACCAGAGATCAACGGTAAACCGGTGGAGCTCCGCCCCCGTGCTCCTGACAGTCTGGAGCCCCGAGCTCTGAGGAGACGCACCTGGAACCGAGAGGAGGTGAGGAGCAACAGAGATCACGGCATCAAAATTATGGAGGCAATCACTATCAGGTCGTCATATGTCAAACTCCATTTCTTTCCCTCTGTGTATTCAGGCGGTGTTGGACAGCCTGCTGCTCAATTCAGTTTCTCAGCTGTCCACCAAGATCAGAAGCTCTGTTGACAAAACAGCAGGAAAAATCCGGTAATTATACTTCATCATATTATCACCTCCCATGAGTATGTAAACGTGTATTTACAGTGTATCTGTCCCCCAGTGAGCCTTTGTGTTGCTTTGAACACACAAAGCCTCTGTGAATAAACACATGTCCCCATTGTATGTTGTTTCTCTTCAGGATACTGTTTAAGGATAAGGACAGGAACTGGGATGAAATTGAGAATAAGCTGCGATCGGAGAGTGACATACCACTCCTGAAAACCTCCAACAAGGTACTGAAACCTATCTGTCCAAACAATGTTTGATGACAAGAAAAGTGTGGTGTTATTAAGAGCTAATAGTTGTTGTTTTTATCCGACCTCTCCTCAGGAGATCTCTTCAATTCTGCTCGAACTGAAGAGAGTTGAGAAGCAGCTTCAAGGTAAAGATCACACTAGTACTAATAACAAATGTGGATTACCTGAGCTAGAAACAGACCTGAACAAACTGCTGTAGACAGTTATGGGTATTATTGATGCTGACTCATTATATTTGTTTAATGGCAATCAATGATAGAGGAGGGCATGTATATCAAAGAGAGAAAGCAGCAAGGCTCAGATTAGGGCTGATTGATTTTTTGAAATGCTCAGCGCTGCATTAATCTTTAATCCCCCATATGTGACATTGATGTATAGGACACTACTGTATGATAAAGTGTTTACACTAGCGTGTGACTGCCCTCCTCTGAAGTGTTTCTCTATAATGTTAACTCTTGATTTTTAAATAAGAAACAATTAAAGTAAAAAAAATACAAATCTAAATCCTAAATCAAGATTATTTATTTCTGTCTCAGTGATCAATGTGATGGTAGACCCGGATGGGACTCTGGACGCCCTCGCCAGTCTCGGCCTAACCAGCCCCACCACCCCTACCAAGCCCCAAACTGCCAAAACAACGTCCCCCTCTGCCACCAGCCCTGGGTCTGCGCCCCCAGCCAAAGAATCACTGCCGGAGATCCTTCCTGGGCCCGGAGGATCAACAGCCAGGGTTCAGGCTTCCTCTGCCAGCACAGAGGAGACCGCACGAGACCCCAGCGCGGGTCTGGGTTTAACAGGAGTCGGAGGATTGCCCTTCAACCGTAGGCGGCCAAGCGGAGAAGAGGCCATCGCACAGAAGTGAACAGAAAGTGTCCCTCAAATCAACATTATGTGAATAAACACGAGTCTGGATTGGAGTGCAGGTGGCTGGTGATCTGTGTTCACAGCAATGAAGCAGGTGTGGAAACATTTAAACAGTTTTTCTCACAGAACAGTTGCCATTCTGCTGACTATACCAGTAGAGGATTATGGGTATAATATAAACATAATTTAGCTTAAGTGTTACCAGAGATGAAGGCCGGGAATGAAGTGCTTCAGCTGACCTTTAGACCCCATCTGATGCATCGTGGATCTGCCCCTGGAACTGAGATTCACCCATGAAGGATTTTTGATAGAGTCATATTATGAGCTGCTCATGCTTACTGGTCAACCTGACTTTCTTCTCTCTCAGTGGACAGATCTCTGTGGTTGTACAGTCTCCACTCTCCTCCAGTATTCTCCTCTTGCCTTCTCCATGTGTCTGGACCCTACCTACACTAAGGACATGCCTTAAAACACATCCTCGATAGTAGCAGCCCGTTCCCTCGAATAATATACAACTTTTAAGACTTTATTACAGTTCTTTCAGACCAACAGAATGCATTGTAAAATAACACTTGCAAAATATGTTCTATTTACACTATGAGGAAATACAGTACACTGCAATGATTTACTAGCTCTTGTTCAGTATAAGAATATTTCAGCAGCCTTAATTAACCACCCTGATAAACCACACAGTCACACAGCTGGCTTCATACCTGCAACAGTTCACAAATCAAGCAGAATTGCAGATGTTTTAGATACTTCACAACTCTAACCGTCCATTGATGCATCTCTCAAACTGACTCTGCTGAAAAGGATTTGTAGTGCCTCCCTCACCATCTCTGTGCTCACCTAGCTCTCCTCCACCCATTATGTTTTACTCTCCCCTTCCCTTCTCTCCCAATAGTCGAAAAAGTGTTGCACAAAGTTTGTCACTTCAGTAGCATGTACAGGGCCGAGCTGAGAGCTTTCTTCCTGCAAGTTGGTGTCTGTGTTGATCTTACTAATACTGAATGGTAGTTTTACACAATAGTAAAAGCCTTTGGGAAACCAATGATCATTTTCAAAATAATCACTTACCAAAGTTAAACAAGTTTATTGACCATGTCATTTTCTAGAAATTCATCTGTTGTGCAAAAGCCTGAGAATCGCTCTCTCAAATACGGCAGTTCATCTCATGTGTCTCTCCTTCCTCTCTGAATGTCAAGACCATTTTTCTGTCAACAAATCAAAGAATGAAAAAGCTTATTTATTATAAGGAAACACTAGTTTAATCATTGCTGCCGTATCTGTTTAGCCCACGTGACATGACGTGAGAGAAGCAGTGCCCTTAGCTTCATCCACTCAAGTGTCCTATGATTTCCAATTGGCTTTTTTCTACTTTTTCCAGCCACGGGTGATGTGACTTATTTTTAAACTTAGCAACGATGAGCAAAGAAAAGAACTGTTTAAACTAAATATTTTATAATATTTAGATACTGGTATTGTAAATATTGTAGACCTTTACTTTTTAATGCTTTGCATTTCTTTGTCTGTCACTAATGAGTTTGAGCTCACGTATGCACAAAACCTGAACATGGAAAAGATTGAATTAATGTCTGAACATGGGCAACTTACAATGAGGCCTTTTGGGGGTCAAAATGTTTCTTTGAGGAACATCAGTGAGTAGAAATGAAGACATCTTTGACAATACTATAAGCTCCCCATTTATTTTATGAATTTCACTTGTAACATGGCGTCATATCAGTGTATATAGTTTTGCATTGTTCCACTAAGGGGGGGAAGTTCCAGTGTACTGAAACTACAATTTCAGAGACAGTATAGTTAACCTCTTTCTCATTGACTTTGCTGCTTTTCTAGTTACTTTATGGGGACTAACCATTTTCTGAATCTCTCTTCAGCTTGTAGTCTGTGTTCTAGAGTAAGATGACAAGGCAGTATATTAGTACTTAGATACTCTTGCAATAGTGAATTTAGGTACCAGAATACATGTTCATTTCCTTCTCTCTATACTGTACTGTACAATGTTTTTCAATGCCTCAAAGTGCCCATTTTGACTATAGGAGGGCATTGATTAATAGAAAAGATGTAGTTGTCTAAAAGATATTTCTCTTATTTTGCACATCAGATTGTGGTGTTTTTTCGTACAGAAGTAGTGAAGAAGCAGTGAAAGGCTGCATCAAATGTCAAATGGTTGGACAAAGAATGATATCACTTTGCCTGATATCAGAAGTGAATGCCTTGCCTCTCTGGAACTATTCTGTCTGTACAAATGAAGCCTCTAATCATGTTTTTTTCTCTCTCTCCCCATGTTGTATTAAAAAAATGAAATTAGGGGACTGTGAATGCTAGGTACATGTTTATTTTTGAAATTCTACATGTGTCATCTGATCAGTGTTCTTTATCTTTTTTTTTTTCTTGTCATTTTTGTAAAGAAAAACCACCATTTTATTTATTTTTTGTTTAATATTTTATGGATGTTTCATGCATTTTATATTTGTTCAACTACCTGCATTGTTTCTTACTGTTAATAAAAGAGAGCCATTCACTTGTTTCTGTTTTTATTTGCCTGGGCATTAACAAAAACTGGACTGACTTTTCATTTCTATGAGATTCTGCTTTAGAAAATTAGAATTTGCCACCATACACATATAGAGTGTCTCCAGTACTGAAACCTCATTTATTTATTCCCAAACTGCCAGGGAGGTTTTAATCCAAGAAAAGACAAAGGGTACCTTTAGTGGGGTAAAAACAAGAAAAATTAGACATGCTCATTTATCATTCCCCAGATCGAATTTGACACTAAGACTTTAGACCCGGTTACTTTATATTCAGATATATATGATGTAAGTAACAATGAGCATGTTCAATCGACAGCGTCAGCTACAGCTGTGCTTACTACAAAAGGTTCAAATCCTAACCAGTGTGAGTGCCTACAGTAGATGACACCTTGGTTATGGTTGACAAAGTGGATCTCATTGATGAAAAACTATTATGTGAGACCAACAGCAGCAAAGTCTCTTACTGCAGACAACGTACTGTACACAGACCCATTAAACCCATCTTCAGCTGCAGTGATTAGTTTTCTCCTAACATCAGTAACAGCAGGCTATGCTGTAATGTAAGTTCTTGTAAAAGGCACCAAGGGAAAGAGAGCAGCGGTGCTTGAAATCCCAACAGTATCACAAATAATAAATAAATAAACATATTTAAGCTGTCTTTGTACTTTCTACAAATGCATTCAGTTAGATAAAGACAAATACGACTGTTGTTGTGAAGTGCATTTTATTATCATTGATGAATTTCCAGGTTTTGATTTGACTCACGTTTCACATGACAAACTGTTTAAGTCAAAATTTAACATCACTGTTTGTCAGACCACAGATGTGAACAATGATAGGAGGATGGTCTGTGCTGGGAGACGGAGGTTAGCCAGGGGGCCACTCCATCCTGCGGCCCCCAAGGACGTGGACGTGGATGTGGTAGACGGACTGGCCTCCTTCAGGTCCATCATTGATGACAATCCTGTAGCCTTTAGACAGGCCCGCGTCCTGAGCACACTTCTTTGCAACGATCATCAGGTGGCCCAACAACTAAGAGACAGAGAGAGATTGAATGAATGACAGTGAGGCGAAAATACGTCTATGTAGTCGGTTGTAAAGGGTTCCATCTAGTGGTCACTGACAGAACTTCGTCGGATAAATCACTGAAAGTGGACATTTTACAGTCAATTGAAAGCTAGAAAAGAAGGTAATGAAATCATACTTACTGCAGCATCACTTTCCTCCGCTTGTGACAGCTGAACAATTGGCTTTTTTGGGACGACAAGGATGTGAGTGGGAGCTTGAGGAGAAATATCAGGGAACGCCACACACTGAAATACAAAAGAACAAATAAGTAAGAAGAATTTAGCCTGTGCGTGCAGACAGCTGTTACATGGTGACCAGAACATTTAAAAACATCTACAACATATAATGCAATAAATGCTGCCTCCATTTGTATTGTGACTTCTGCATTAATTGTTTGTGTACTAGTTCAATATGTTTTTTTGTTCCTGCATTATGTTTAAAGATGTTGCTAATATGTTGTCCACCTCGTTTACTGTACATACAGTATATGGAGAGAATCTGCACCAAGACTGTTACAGCACGATGAGTAAAACTCACTGTAGTGAGCAAAACACATGGACGCACTGCAAAGAAACGATAAATTGGATCATGGTGAATTCTTGGTAAAAAATATCTGCAAAAACATGATGTGTCTCAACACTATTGGCCATTACTGCAATCTTACAGTTACAGAAAGTAAAGATGGGAAAGATTCTCATGTGAACACATTATGAATGTGACTGAAGGTTGTATGCTTACGCGGTTGTGTGAGAGTTAAACATACAGAACAGTAATTACAGAACACTACATTTATTAAATATAATTATGCTGGCAGTGGTTCAGTCTGTAAAGTGACTGTCAGGTAGATGAGACAGAAAACCGCATAAAGCCTGAATGTTATTCACCTTCATCGAGTAGGAGAAGAATCAGGATGTATAAAATGGAACCGCAGTAACTACGACACATCATGACTGTGCAATATACACTGGGGACATTTCTCTCTTGCACAAATAATGTAGTGTTTTATCAATGGCAGCCATTAATCATACAAACCTACAGTTATTGTGTTAGCCTGTTTGACAGACAGTGGTGTTTCTCGCTGTGAATCCTTCTGTCTGGACATATTTAAAGGTTTTATTTGAATTAAGTGCTATAGTTCACGAATGCTGATTTCATTATCCAACTTAGAGCAGTAATAACACATGAACGCACACACAGTCTGTAGTGGCTACATATTAAAAAAGGACTGCAACTGTAGCAGGCAGACTTGGCCAAGTGAACAGAGTCACACCTGGGTGGAGAGCCAAGTGGCTGCAGATGCCAAGTGGCAGCCACAGTAGCATGAGGCCATGAGCAATGACTTCTAACCACTGACAGTATATATAATAACATGAAGAACTACAGCTGAACCGCGGTGAGGAAACAGTCAAATCCTGTTAAAAAAAACCTTTTTAATGCTTGTTCAGGTTTAAATGTATGTAACCTGAGAGCAAGCCGCATTGCACCACCTCACCTCACCACACCTCACACAGTACTGGTTTGGTTTTATTATGTGATAACAGACCTACACATTAAAAAAAACAAGTCTTAATATTCATAAAACTAAAGTAGCAGTTTCTGCAAAGCTAGCCTGTAGCTAACCTTAGCTAACCTGCAATGATCTGCAACGCCGAGGAGCTGTGAGACTTACAGCACTCAGACGAGTTCATAAGCGAACATGTTCAATGCATACCTGGTCGTCTTCGTAGATTAGGTTGGCAGGAATCTCTTTGCGTACGATTTTCCCAAATATCGTGTCACCGCCCGGCTGGGCAGCCTGCGCCTTCGCCGTTTCATCCGCCATGTTGGCGCAGAGACCGTCAGACTGCGTCAGGTTGCGTCAAACCACAGCGGACGCTCATTGGCTGCCCAAACGCGTCACTCTAAGGTCTTCACTGATTGGTTGTTGGTACTTCCTCCAATGCCGGATGTGAGCTGAAGAAGTCAAGATGGGCACTCGTTTGAAGGTGAGGATGAAACTTAATATGTCTAAAACAATGTTTCCTTTTCGCTCCTCTAGTCGGGTTTGTTATAGAAATACGTGTTTTGTATGTTCTAAGAAGTAGGTCGCTAAAATGACATTGTTATTAACCACAACTGCTACAGTTCAAGTGTTAAGGTGCTGGAGTTGCTAAAAGCTGACTGTCTGTGTGAATGCAGGTGCTACATGTGTTTAAAACGCTGCACAGAACGAGGATGTCTGTATTCAAAGATGATAACATAGGACTGACAGGTGAGTTTAAGTAGTTGGTTTGATTTCTTCGTCTGTGGCTATGTCACCAACCCTTACAGTATACCTGAATGCATCCTCTGATTACTGTTTCTTCCCTCACAAAGCTGCAAGGTTAAAGATCAACGAGGAGTTCAAGAAAAACAAAAACGAAACGTCAGAAGAAAACATTAAGAAGGTACAGTGACAGTGCAGCAGAAAGGCTCATCGTCCCGTAGTCCATCCACGCTCATTACCCTTCTGTTTTTACAGATGATCAAAATGGGCTCAGATGTGGAAGCTGTCCTTCGAGAGGCTGTGATACAGCTGGAACATGTGGGAGAAAAGAAGCTGTGTATGTTATTATTTCTCTCCTCTTCTGTCTCTTTCTATAAATGTGGTACCGTGCTAGAAAGTAGAATATAAACCAGGAATGCTGACTTGTCTTCCCCATGACATTTTAATGATATTTCCTAATGGTATGTACTTGCTACCTTTCTTTTCTGTCTCTCACAGTGCTTCGACCCAGAGAGAGTCTTCTACTAGAAAATGTACCCTATTGTGACCAGCCCAGGAAAAAGACATGACAGACCATTTCATTACGTCCTTTTCATCAAGAAAGAGACTCCCTATCATCCATTACCAACCATTTGCATTTTAAAGGATTTACCCCAAACAACATTTCAAGTTGTTGAGGATCTCCTGAACAGAGACTATTTTAAAGATCATCGCTACACAGAGAAATGCCTGTATTTGATTCTCTGAAGATTTCAGCTGTTTGTGTATTGCTTTAATAAATCTGTAAACTGGATGTCATAATTCCTTGTACAGTATTTAATCACATGTAATTGAAATGTGTTTTCATTTCACGACTTGGACGTTTTCTGCCTATTTTTCAGTAGCGTATGGTTCAACTGAACTACGGGGAAATGTTATTGTGCTGCTACTGAAAAAAACTTGTTTTATTGTGTTGTGATTAAAGAGGAGTATTCCTAGACTGTGTCAGGTTTCATTTATTGCTCAAACCTCTAAACTGTTAGATGGATGTAACATGATGTTGGTCGAAGCACAGGGCAAAGACCATAATAACTCCCCAAGTCCTCAGAGAATAAATGGGTGCAATAGCTATCGAGTCTCCCAGAACAGATTTTCACATGTGATTGGACTGATTAATTATTTATTTAGTGTGAAATATATCAGTGATAAAGTTGGGACATTATACAGAAGGAGAAAAGGGGGAGATTTAACTATAAGAAAAAACAAACAAACCTGTATTTTAAGATGTTTGGCATATAAGGGGGTAAAAAGAGCTGTAACAAATTGAACGTTGAGTATTATAATAGTAAATTACGTTAATAAAAGTTAAGAATGATAGTAGTCTAACTTCCAGTGCAGCAAACACTCTTTGTTTTGATGTAGGCAGTACAAAGTTTGTTCAAACGGAGGAACTACGTTTCCCACAATGCCCGTTAACAAAGTTAAGAATGAAGACGTCATCAAACGCGCCGTTACTCTGGCAACGTTTGGGTTCCTTTCGGCTCCAGCCGTTCAGCTAGCTGGTCAACTCTGTTTGTACAATATCAAATGTAATGCCCAAAATAAGGTGAGGAGCAGGTCAAATGGTAATTTTCCATAACGCGTAAACATTATCACAAAAATAATAACATGTTTTTTGACCTACGTGGCGCCTTTTGTTTGGTATTTGTCAGCTCAGACACGCTATGGGAGCTGGCTGCGGCGGAGGTCCACAGTGGGGAGACTGCAGGGGGGGAGGAGGAGGAGGAGGACGGGAAACAAGAGTAGAGAGGGAAACAGGAACAGAAAGTGAAGACTTGTCAAGATGTCTTGGTGAGGGGGGGACCAGAACAGAGCAGAAGCCAGATGCCAAAAGAGAAACAACAGAAGTTTGAGCAGCTGACTGGATTAGACAGGAGGGGAGAGCTGACCTGCCGCTTCACAAGTGCCTGCGGGGTAAGATGCCGTTTTCAAAGAGATCTTGAGTGCCAGCATCTCGAAATTCTTTGAAATTGTTCTGAGTGGTTTATATAACTGTTGGTGCTTTTTGTTTCGTGGCTGTAGGGAAACAGAGACACAATTGCTGCTTCTGTGGTTAGATTTGACAGGATGTTTGACAAGTTACAACGATAAGCGGATAAGTTTCTTCCTGCCTTTGAGTGCTGTGGAGTGTCACTATAACATGCCCCTCTAATTCATTTCTTATTTTCAAAATAAACCTCTAAAGACATTCCTGAAAGAATGTCCTCCACTTTGTCAGGATTGAGTTGTCACAAGCCTGAACTGTCTTGGGCTTGTGCACTTGCTCTGGCTCACTGTGGAGGACTCCTCCAGACTATCAGCAGGCCTGTAGCTACCCAAGCGAAACAGCTGCACTTAGTGATCCAAGATAGCTCATGATTCCTGTGAAAAAGGAGGGAGTATGGCTTTAATCGTTTGTTGGTGGCTGACTCAAGTGTCCAAGAACTGTGTATTAATACTGACTAATGAGGAATCTGCTCTGACCATGTGCTCGGGGCGAGTCATTAAAGATTCCTGCCTTGCCTTCTGTCACAACTTTGTCTTTTAGGTCGAACATGTTCCTTAAAGAAAGCAGCAGGGGCTAACTGAGTGCAATCATAACATTTTTCTCAGCCCCTTCCTGGCTTTGTGTGCCCCAGAAATGGCCTTTTCCTGTACATAAATGTCTCCAGGAGAGCACAGTGTCATGAGAAAGTGAAGTACCCGGTCAGTGTCTTAGAAGGGCATCTCAGTGAAATGATAAACCAGGGAAATATTCCCCTCTTTTTTTAGTATATAACTATATTCTCCTTTTAAATGACCTCTTCTGTTCTGTACCTCTGCTTAACCACAAACTTACCTCAGCTCAGACATGCGTCATCAACATTTACAGTGTGAACTCTCACAGTACTGCAAAAGAGATTCTTGGCACAATAACACTGGCAATCAAAGTGTTTACTTGAAGAAACGTTTGAACAACCAAGTGTGAAACCACCTGAACTGGAAAATATTCTATTTTAATACTAAAATGACTATTTTGACCTGAACAGTTTTGATCAAGGAATCCTTTTTTTCCATTTCCTGACACTGACAATACCCTTGTTTAGACATAACTTACAGTGATCTCATTCTTCCTGGCCAGAGACTATAACAAGCATAACACTTAGTGACTTATACATTCCATTTAATGACTTTACCACTGATACACTGTAAGTCATCCCTTTTATATTGCTAGATCACACCTCTGTTTTGCTCCTGGCCCTTGTCCCTCTCCTGCAGCCTTATTGTTGAGTGACTCTGGCTTGTCGTGTTGACAGTGTTTTCATAATGTGAGGGAGATCAGAGTGTACACGAAGGTGCTGCTGCTCAGCCAAGCTCATCACAACAACATGTACCAACAGCAAAGAAAATAATCAGGAGTAATGTTGAATAGACACCGCGGCTCACACCAACATGCACCGTCTCAGTATAGTTTATGATTGAGTTTCCATTCAAATGTAGCGCACATTTTGGAAAAGAAAGTGTGAATTAATGCATGTTTCCATCTACTACTGTGAATATAAGGACTCAGACGCACCAGGATAAACATTTGGTGGTTTCCATTAGGGTGCGATTAAAACAGTGCAAGAGGAAGCAAGACAACGTCGGTCTACACTGCTGTTGTTTTCGTCTTTTGCCATTTTTTAGCTTGAATGATGTTAAAATCATCTACGTCATTATTTATTTGCTATGTCTGTTTCCATTACTGTTAGTCACATTCTGATTTTAATGAACTTTTTTTTCTGAAAACCAAAACATTTTAAATGCATATTAAATCAGTTGGATGAAAACATTTTTTATGTACAGTGGTTTCCAACGTTTATGCCCGATGACCCCTTTAAATGAAGAGATGTCTGATGGTTGTGAGCAGTTCAGCTGAAGAGTAGCTGTGAAATCAAATTCACAATTAGAGGAAAAGTGACAAAATACAGTCAAAGAAGTTGAGGTGTACATACTAAAACAGAAATGCAATGTGCTGTCGACTGTTCTCCGTCAGTTCAATGCGCAAAGGAAGTGGAGGAGTTTCTCACAGCTGCAAAATATTAAACAAATTGTTGATGGTGGTGAAACAGCTCCAGGAACACCTCAGAAAACAAAATGTAACTGGTGTATTTTTGGGAAAACAAGATTAACTGGCAGTGGCATTCTGAAGTCGCAGTTGGCTTTTCCTTGCACAGCACACGTATTGCATCATTTCCTGCTAGTTAAAAAACAATGTACAAACTCCAAACCGAGGTTAATATAGTTAACTAAAACTAAACAAAAAATTTAACTAGGCGTGAAAAAGCATTTTTTGTTAACTGATATAAAAATCGAACTGAAACAATATTCTGTACCCCGAAAAACAAACTAAAATTACATAAAATATACAGGAAATGTCTCCAGTTTAAGTCTTTGTCAATTTGGTCAAATTTGTCAACACAACAAGCATGTTTATTTTATTTTATTTATATTATTTTATTCATTGAGACTGGGATGTCTACACAAGTAAATAGATTTGTATTGTATTGTAACCCCGCCACCACCACCAAAAAAAAAAAGAAAACTGACACTGAAATGAATAAAAATGAAACCAAAACTAAACATTTTTGAACAATAAAAACTAAACTGATTGAGCAAACCCACTCTGAAAACGGACTGAAACTAAACTGAACTGAAAACACAAATTAAAAACAAAACAGAAGTAAAAGAAAAACTAACTCTGCTGCAAATAGTAGTATATAGTGTAATATTTTTTTTTTCTATTTTATTAATTTCTTAATCACCTCGTGACCTTTTAGGTTTGCGGTGACTGCTTGAGAGGGTCCCAGCACACTGTCTGTTAACCACAAGTATATGATGTAAAGATCAAAAGATTAAATGGTTAGCTTGCACCTAAGATAAAAAAAACAATGCACAGCTGCATATGTGCCCTTGTTTTTTAAACTTTATTATAAAAATAAGTAAACAAAAAAACAACAAAGGGCAACAACTACAGCTTCACATGTGGTTATTTTAGACCAGATCTGCTTTTAGAGATTTGACTGCTCTTATATATTCAGCTGACGCTTGCTACTACTTAGCTTTAAGCACTCAGCTTCCTGTTGAGCAAATGAACAGGAGGGAAGTTAGCAGACTGCTGGTAAACCAATTTCACACATGAGACACAACGCACGGCAACAGCCGCGCCAAAATTTATTTGCTCTCCACTTGCAGGTGCATCTTCCTCTCACTCGCTATACCTAAGAAGCAGCCAAATGTGAGATGGAAATCTTTTCTCTTCCTGCATCTAGAATACAAAGAAGCTCTGTAGCCGTGAGCTATAGAGAATTTAAGAGACAATGCTTGAGTCAAACAGTTGTTAAACACCATTTAGATAAAGATGTTGCCTCAAGGTGTCAGACTTAATCAAACAATATTCTAAAAGAAAAAGGGAACAATATGACTGTTATTTCTCAGACTGACTTTTCTTTTGCAGACCCGCCTCACCAGTTAAAGCACTTCACCTTGTGTTTTCCTCTCCAGGAGAGCTGTTAGGAGGAGATTTCATCTGAGGAAAATGTTACAATCAGAAATGTCTGAAAACTTAAGCCAGGTCCCATCTATCTCCTCCAATGGGAACCATTAGCCGGGTATATTCAGAATCTCCTGCAGGTCTCTCTCTAGCACCCCCC